TCTTTCTCTCCTGATGATCGGCCGCGCCGACCGAGTTCAGCCCAGAGTTGTCGATGCAAGTGACGAGCGCGGCGGCAGGGCCGAGGCAGACGGGCGCCAAAAACTTCGGCGCAGAAGACTCTGATCCTGACCGTCGCGGTCGCGTACCCCGCAATATCACTCCGCGATCGGCAAACTGAGCAGGAGGAATCCCCCCCACCCAAAACCATGAATCTTTCCGATCGGCATCTCGCAACACCGACGGCCATCAACACGGGGAGAAGTGAAGCCCGCGGCCTCGCGACTCCAAGAAGGCAAGCGGAATCCACTCGCAGTACTTGAGCAGATCGTAAAACATCGAGCCAGCCTCCTGACCAGACGAAAATATTTTCCGCTGGTACCGCCCGCAAACTACGTCGGTAGCCGCGCGGTGCTTCCCCGCAGAATGCGAGGCCCGTCGCCCCCCCCCCCAGGCCGCCGCGCAGGGCCGACGGATGCGGCCTCAGATCCTGCACTGGAAGAAGCAACGATGGGACGGAACCCGAGGACAGCATTCGGAATCAGGGCCACGAGGAGCGCCCTGGGTTGGCAGGGCAACGCGCCAGAAGACTCGACGATCTGGGGGGGGTCGCTCAAACAGAGCAGAGAAGCGTCAGAAAAGCACGGGCAGCGCCGAAAGCGGAAGCCGTCCAAGCCCACAGCCGAGCGCCGAGAACAGGATCGAGAAGCCGCCCTAAACTGGCCCCCAGAAATCACAGGGAGGGCCCACGACGCTTCCTGGGAGGGCTGTCCACCGCGTGCAAGAGCTTACTGACACGGCCCCTCTCGTGCTTCACTTGCTTCAAAAGGACATGAGGGTCGCTCGCCAGATTTCCGAACCGGCTCGGAGTCGGGGTCGGCCGCCAAGCCGAGGGGGCCCCAGAAACCCGATGGGCCCTTCGGGCCCCCTGAGTGATCCCATCCAAAAGCCAGGATGCACCATCAGCGCGGGCCCGCCTCGCGCGTTCCTCCACGCAGGCGCCCGGCGCCTCTCTAAGCTCGGGGCGAGCTTCATCGGCAACAAGGCGGAGAGCATCGGGGCCCACGCCCCTGGCCGCGGCAGCGTCGGCCGCCAGCTGGAACGCGCCGCGAAAATCGCGCGGGACATCCCGGGAGAGCCAGCCAGGGGCGCGGCGCGCCGCCTCGAGCGAGCCGTCGCGATCCTCGGACGGAGCGCGAGCACCCAGCCAGCCCACCTCGCCGGTCTCCAGCTTCGCTGGGAAGCACAGGGGCACACCAATACGAAGTCCTCCTTGGAGGCGCGCTTCCGACCCGAACATAAAGTATACCCATATTGTAGTAGATCGTTTCCCGAGCGGCGTCGTCAGAAAGCGCCCGCCACGACGCATATGCCATAAGATTTCTCGGCGCGCGGGCCGCCCCTGGGGGGGGGGCGACGCGCGCATAGTGCAAGTATGTTGGGATGCCGCCGATTCGCGGCAATCTAGAGATGCAGCTTCCCCTCCGCCGCCTCCGAGGCGATCGGGGCTCTGCGGGGCCTGCCGCCCACGACCGCCAAGGGCCCCCCCGTAGAGAACACGGACACCCAGAAACTGGCCCGGCAAACGACCCCACCATGCGCAACTGTGAGCTCCGCAGTTGTGGGCATCGTCGTCGGCGGAGCTCGCCGTGGGCCACGAAACGCTGCACTGGGCGGGGTAGACGCACACGCACGGGAACTTTGCCCCTGGGGCCGTCGGTGGAGCTCCCTACGGGGCCACGAGACGCATGTGGACTTTGCCGCTGGGGCCTTCGGCGGAGCTCCCTATGGGGTCACGGAATATGAGGCAATGAAACTCTTACTGGGCGTGGCAGGCACACGCGGGCGGGAGTTCTTAATGGGGCCACGAGACGCCGCGCTGAGCGTGGCGGACGAGCGCGGGCGGTAGCACTGGGACTTTCGGAGGAGCTCCCTATGGGGCCACGAAACGCTGCACTGGGCGCGGCTGACGCACGCGGGCGGTAACACTGGGACCCTCGGCGGGGCCCCCATATGAGGCCACGAAACGCTGCACTGGGCGTGGCGGACGCGTGCGCGAGACCTTCGGTGAAGCTCCCCATGGGGCCACGAAACGCTGCGCTGGGCTCGGCGGACGCATGCGGGCGGTAGCACTGGGGCCTCCACTGGAGCTCCCGAAACGCTGTACTGGGCGTGGCGGACGCATGTGGGCGGCAGCGCGTGGACTGTCGGCGAAATTCCCAATGGGGCTAATGCGGGCGGCAGCACTGGGACCTTCGGTGGAGCGCTCTATGGGGCCACGAGGCGCTGCGAACCTTCGGTGGAGATCCCTATGGGGCCACGAAACGCGCGAGGTGCGCGCCGATGGCGGCCACGCGGAAAGCATAGGCACGGGGGGGAGGGGGGGGATGGAGAGAACGCGGGGCGCTGTCTCTTCAAAAACGAAGACCTAGCACCGCACGACGGTTGGGAAAAATCGCAAACTGATCCCAGAGCCATCCCATACTGCGCAGCTCAAGGTAGCCGACCGCCCCGCGGTCTCGCCCCCACGACGGGGCGCAGCGGCAGGAGAAGGAATAGCCCATCACGTTATACAGCTCTTCTCGTCCGCACTGGCCCATTGTTTACACGCAGCGCCTACTGAATAATCCAAACTGTCCACGCCCCCCTGTGGGCCCGAACCAGGGTCTTATCCAGGAGCACCGAAGCCTTGCCGCAACGCGCGGGCCCAGGTGAGAGACCGATCGGGGCGCTCACACCGATCGGGCGGTTGGGGGGGGGGGGGGGGGGCGGAAAGACACGGCGCGAAGATCTGCAATTCCTACGTGGAACTAAACCCTCGCAGGAACTCGAGGCGAAACAATCGAAACCGATTGATTGACATTAACAGAGCGCACAGCCGGCGCGAAGCCTACGAAAAGAACGAAATGGTCGCACTTCTTAAGCTCGTCTGAAGAAGCACGCGCAGCCCTCCGCCGCCACCAACTGGCCACTTACCCAGGTTGTAGACGAACTCGCCCCCACGCAAAGCCGACGGCCCCACATGGGAATCGCCCACCAATAGGGGCATGCGGCGCGCAGAGAACCGAGCTCCGAGAGCATTCCAAAGGTCGACGTTACGTTCGCCCAGCCCCCCTGAAAAAAATAACCTGCAGGGGGATTTTCGACGAATCGCAAACTTGTTTTTTTTTATACCCAAACAAATGCAAAAACAAATCAACAAATAATCCCCAAACTATGTTTTGATTATTTTTGGGCTACTTTTGGGGCGCGTTTTATTCTTCATCGAAAATCCTCGCGTAGGGGGACAGGCCCGACTTAACTTTAGGCGGGCGCGCTACTCCAGCGACAGCGCGGCGAGGCCAGAGCTCCCGAGGCCCCAGGGGGATGCAGGCCAGGCCAGGAGCGGGCCAAACTGGCGACGCCGCATTACTGGCCCCATGTCGGGCGCGTCCCCCTACCAAAGGATTTAACAAAAAAGCTCCAAAAGTACACCAACAAGGTTTAAAACAAATGCTTTAAAAAGAAGTCCCCAGACTATGGTTGGACTATTTGGGTGTATCTTTTTTATCGATAATCCCCCCGTATGGGGACAGGCCCGACTTAAACCCAGGGCGAGTTCCAGCCGTTCCTGAAGCACCACTCTGACGCAACGCCCACAGGGTCGCACGCCTGCAACTTGCGCTCCTGCATCAAGAGCAGGCGGGCTGAACAGTCGGGCAGCCGCTCCTGCGCCGAGGCCCAGGCGCCTCCATCGATCGCCCCCACGATCATGCTAAAATCTGCCGAGGGAAGGGGTGGAGGTTTTAAACAAGTCCCCTGGAACCAGCACTTGCAACGTGATCACTTGCAACGTGATCGACGCTTCATGATTGACCGTTGAGATGGAGTGAGGTGCGCGCACAGATGATGATGATGATGATGATGATGATGATGATGATGATGATTGTGATGTGTTCACGCCTGGCTCAGTTCCAGTTCAAGCAAATGCAACAGAAGCGGGGCGCTTACGCACTGAGCGCGGCCCCGCAGCCGCTGCTGGTCGCCTGCGTAAAAGCTTAGCGCTACCAGGCAAGCGGCCGACTTCGACGCGAGGGTTATCGAGCGTCGCCAGGCGCAGCTTCGGCGAGATGTTGGGTGGATGATCATACAAAGCGCATAGCGCTGCCTGGAGCACTTCGCGCTCCTCGCGATGCTCAGTGAGAGGTAGACACTTCCTGGCCCACCCCGCCAAAAGCTTGGCAAGAGTGAATATCGAAGTCACTGCGCGCGCATTGCGCTCAGTTTGGAACATGACGTTACGGAAAAAAAAGCTTTCAACTGACGATGCAAGGCCTCGTTCCTCGTTGTTCCGCACATGACTTGGACGTCACGGTTGCGGGAAATGAATCTGCCCAGGTTTAGAAGGTGCTCAAGTTGAATGGGGGAAGTTGCGCATCGCAAGCTCCCAAAGACGGTGGTCTGCTTGCTTGTCGTCTTTCTCATGTCATGCGGGGGCACCTTGCACAAAGCTGCAATGTCCCTAACGAAAGACGCAATGCTGCGATATCGTAGCTCGGCGTAACCATCTGCGCCAATCGCCAACTTGATCCGCGCAGCTGACGCATCTGACAACGACGCCACCGCGTCCTCTAGCAACGGCGCATCCGTCACTCGCTTCTGGCGGCGGTAATACGGCCTGCCATCGTCAATGCCTTTCGAGAAATTGACGATGCAACGCCGGACGAGATTCGACAACGGAGTGCGCTTCTCGCCAGACGCCTGCTCAACTTTGAGAGCGATGTGCAGAGGGTCCATCGCGAGGCACTGAAGTCGCGTGAACGAGGTGCGAAGGACAGACTCGTCCAATGAAACTGGCGCGTCCGAGCAGATCACACGCACTTGCGCTGCGCCATTCCCGCGGCCGACCGCCTCCAGAAGTGCCTTTTTTATGCGTGCGGTTCCTTCGTTTGGCGCAGGCTGCACTAAGAGCACGGAATCCATGCACTGAGCCGAAATTTGCACGTGAATGCCGTTTTTCGGGTCAACTCCAGCTCTGCCGTGCTGTCTGGTACAAGACCGAAAGTAGCGTGGAGTACTGCCCGTCGACGCCGATCACGGTCTTGTCTGCGTCTTCGCGGCATTTCTTGAATGCGTTCTGGATGCGGCCATGCTTCAGCATGCCCTCTACCAAAGTCAAGTGAATGGCAGCATAATCTGGAAACAGGTATCGAGTAAAACCCGCGACATCCTTCAAGTGGGCCCATGCTCTCTTCTTGGAGCCCTTCGTGTCGGGGTGCAGAACAGAAGCCAAAAACGAGGCCAAGAACTCATTGGTGCAATAGTACTGCGCACTAACCCGATGGAAGCCATCTGCGTCCACGCGGAGAATGAAACGGGCGCGCTCGCCAGCACCGAGCAACAGCACCACGTGTCGGTCGAAGTTGGTCCGCTTGACGGGCGGTTTCCACGCGTCCCAAGATGGGCTCTCTCTGCAACCACCCCGAATGAACTCAGCGCTCTGCGCGAGGAGCGAGCGAGGACCACATGCATCGCCGCTCGTCGCCCAGAGGCTTGCACAGCGCTGGGATAATACAGAGTGGTTCCACATGGCGTGGATCACGCGCATCTGCTTCGTCGACGCACCGCAGAGCTTCTGTCGGACGTGCTGATTCCGCACGCGAGAAGCCAATTTGGCCCGTTTCTGAAAATCCTTGAACGGGCGCAACGGGCAATGCCACAAACCGTCGCACCGAAGGGCCCCTGCACGCTCATGGTCACTGACGACGTGCAGCGCAGCGGCCGCCTCTTGCTGCACGCAGTCAACGAGCTCCTTCGGCGTCTTCGACTCGCCAGAACCTTTCCCTCCGCACAGCGAGTCGCGCCCTTGGCGATCGGGCCGCTCGCGCTGCGAGCGAATTACGTGGGCTTTCTTCATCCCGCCCCTGAGGTCACAAACCAAGGCGTTGAAGGCAGCTGCAGAGATCTTCTTGGCTGCGCCCAGGCGAAAGCAGATCAGCGTGAACTCGCCGACGTGGAACGCGAAGGCGCGCCCTCCCCCGTCGTCAATAATGTCCTTACCAACGGAGAAGAGCGCCTCGGGGGCGCAAGCGGTAATAGCGAGACCGAAGGGGGCAAGCATCCGTGAGCCTCCACTCGCAATCCATTCTGGCCCGTGGCGGCCGATGCGCACTGGGCACCCGTGATCGCGCAATGCCTGAGAGCGAACTGAGTTGACGCTCGCCGACGCGCGGCAACTCGGCGCAACTAAACGAGCATCATTAACGGAAACCACAACACATCTAAACCGATACGGCAGTTTTAGGATAAAGATCCGTTTGGTAAGGAATCTAAGGTATCGCGACCGACGGACGAACAGTTGGGGCCACCCACCTCGCTTCGAAGATAAGAGGAACGCGCCGATATTCCTTATCCAATGATCCCACCATAGCGCCAATCATTGCCCTCGCATCGTTGCGCCGAGCTGCCGCGCTCCGGCTTGAGCGCCGCCCAGTTCACCTTGCCGACGCAGATATTCGCGAAGACGGAGCTCTCCCGCAGCGTCGCGCACTGCTTGGCCTGATCGATAACGACAGCGAATTCTTGGCCGCCTGGCAATCTGGATGCCTCTTGCAGCATCAGGCCCCACAAGACTGCCGCCTTGCGCTGGGAATGCCCTTCCAGTTGTTCTCGGCTGCTTGCTGGGTGGGGATGCGGAAATATACTGTCGTGGTTGAATTGTTGTGTGCTGTTGTTGAGTTGCTGATGTTGTGTTGTGTTGTTGCGCTGTCGTGCGTTCGGGCTGCCCGGCGTTGTTGTTTGCTTGGTTTGCGTTGATTGCGTTTTCTTGGTGGGGTGTGAGGGAGTTCGTTTCGCCCCCCCAAACACCTGGGCCACGAACGCGTCGCGACGCATGTGGAACAATTCCTTGCGCTGGCTCTTGGCCTGTTGGCCAAGAGCAGCCTTCTCGTTCCGAAGGGCTGTGCACAGTTCGCGGTGTTTCTTCAAGTGCCTCTGCGCAGCCTCCTTGAGGAATTGCTTTACCCACGGCTTGGCGACCCAGTTCATCAAAGACTTGGTGCGCTTACGATCGCGGCACCTGTCCGTCTTCGTCTTGATTGCCGTTTTTGATGAAGCTGGCATGGTGTGCTGCGGCGCCCGCGCTGGTGAGAGAAGTATCAAAAAAACAATATCCAAAGCCGAATCAGCTACGATTGAACAACATACGGAGGAAAGATGAAGATAAGAGAGAAGAGGAGGTCCAAGTGAAGCAAAATTGAGAAGCACACGCCGGAGATAAGTAATCAACTAGACCAGAAACAAGAGAAGATACATCGAAAATGGATGCTACTCCTCACTCGTCTTATTTCCTCATCCTCCACCTCTCTCTTCTCGTCGCTCCGCACCCTCCTGACTCGTCCTATCTAGCTCTAGATATGCATTTACATCATCTTCATCTTCTCGTCGCTCCTCATCCCCCTTACTCGTCCTATCTAGCTATTTCCTCCTCCTCGCGCTGATCTTATCTAAGTCCTCTTACTACTGCTACTCCTCCTCATCATCACTGCTTCGCATCGTCTCATCGTCGTTCTCCGACTCAAGGCAGCATCGAGCTCCGAATGCCGACAGGGACTCGCGAGCGAGGCCGATGCAGCTGCAGCGTGGAAGGCTGCTGTCAGATCATGACGCGATTCGCGTATGCCCCCACCCCCTTATCCCCTCCGCCTCCACCTCCGCCTCCTCTTCCTCTTCCTCCTCCTCCTCCTCCTCCTCCTCCCCCTCCCGGAGGGCCTCCGAAGGCCTCGCCAGCCCTCGAGGCCCTCCGGAACCCCTCGGGAAGCCCTCCGAAAGCCTCCGAGGGCCTCCGAGGCCGCTGGCACGGAGGAAGAGGAAGGAGGAGGGTGAGGGGGAGGAGGAGGAGGAGGACAGGGAGGACGGAGGAGGGAGGAGAAAGAGGTCCTCTTCTCCAACTCCTCGTCCTCCTCCCCCTCCTCCTCCTTCTCCTCCTCCTTTCCTTTTCAGCTAGATTACAATAGGATTCCTTTTGTAGAGGATTACACTAGGATTTTTGTTTGTGGAGGATTACAATAGGGTTCCCCCCTGCCACTGAAAGCTGAGGCCACCTCACGGTCGCGGTCGCGCACCGTATCCAACGCGTTGTCAGGCGCCACGACGTCGGACTCAGCCTGCACCGCCGCACCTCCAGAAGAAGCCGCCATCGCGAGGCCAGGTAGGGAATCAGCTGAGCCCTCTGCAACAGGACCGCCACCGCCTCCTTCGCCTCCTTCCGATGCAGCGCCCTCTTCACCGACGCGCCTCTTCTTAGCTGCAAAAGGCGCCTGTAAGGCTCGGGGCCTCATCTCCGCCCACCTGGCCAAGCCCACCGCCTTGGAGAAGAAGTCCATGGCCATGCTGCGGATGCTGCCCATAAACAAATATTTCCGTTTGGTGGCCTCCGCCAGGTCTGCCTCAACCACGCTGTCGTCGGGGCCCAGGTCGAGCAAATCGCCCATGTCCAAATCAAAGCAAGCCGCCTTGCCCGCAAGGAGGCCGGCCAGGGCGACAGAAGTCCGTGGCCCGGACCTCCGCTTTGACGCACTGGACCTTGCCGGACAGCTCGGAGTGGACCATGTCCAGCTGCTCGAGCTTCTCGTACATCGTGAAGATAAGGGCCTCGTGCGCCGCGACCTTCGACTTCCAACTCTCGAGCGCCTGGAACCCATGCTGCACGACCTGCCGAGTTTGATCCGCTTCCCCTGCGCGCGCGCCAGCTGCTCCTCTAAGGGCTCGTCGGACTTGACGGGCGGCCCGCGGGCGTTGAGCATGCACTGGAAGCGGTGGGCCTCGAACGCGTTGCCAACCAGCCTGTGGAGCTCCACGAAAGTCCCCAAGTCGGACAGGGACAGCTCAGCTTCGTGAAGGGCGTGCTGAGGTGCAACTTGATCAGAACCAACCAGCGACCCTGGCGGCAACGGAGGAAGTGGAAATTGCCGAGGGGAGCCGTGCCACGGCAGCGATGCGTTGCCACCGAAGCCGCATCGCCCATTGCCCTTGCCACGGGCACTCTCCCCGCCGCCGCCAACTCCCTTTCCTCCGCCTGCCTTGCCCCCGAGGGCGAGGTGGTATCCTCCAGGGGGACCACCAGCCCCATCACCGCTGGGAGCAGGAGCAGCCCGAACCGAAGGAGATGCCCAAGGCGCGCCGCAGTGTTTGCACCAGGGCGTCGTCGTGTCACTCCTGTCGCAGCCGCACGAGCTGCACGTCCACATAGCGATTCGCGTGAACGGACGGCCTGCTCGCCAGGGGTAGCCCTCACCCGCCTGACGCCCATCCATCCGTTCGCTAAGGAACGAGGTCCCTCGACCTGAGTGGGTAGCAAAACAGATACCACAAGCCAACAAGGCCCGCAGCAGCACAGCCGTTCGGAAACTCGCTGCTGCAAGCCCAAACCTGGGCCAGAACGGCTGGGGGAGGAGGAGGAGGAGGAGGAGGAGGAGGAGGAGGAGGAGGGGGGAGAGAAGAGGAGGGATGGAGAATGGAAGAGGCGAGAGGGACCCAGACATCCGGCGTCTCGATTTGTTCGAGACGCGGGCCCCTGACCTCTCGACCACTTCCCCCCGGGACTGGCTTCTCATCGCGAGCTGTTCCTTGACGGTCCCGAGGCCTGGCACGGGCCCCGAGAGGCCGAAAATGATGAAAAACCTCCGTCTTGATTTTTTCGAGACGCCGAGATTGTCTGGGGAGGAAGGCAGGCAGGGAAGAATTGGGGAAAAGGGCGGAGGAGGAGAAGGGCGGGAAAGGCAGCGGGCAGCGTCTCGGCCGCCCCGCCCCCGCCCCACCAAGGCGCCGGGACAGCCAAGCGCACGCCGCGCCGCCGGCGACATTGGGGCGGAGCCGCCAGGGGAAGGGGCAAAAAAAATGCTGCCGCGCCGCCTGCGCGCGATCGCGGGGCGGAGGCCTCGGCGAGGCGGCGGGGCGTTCCATCCTCCGCCGCTGCCGCCGCCGCCCTCATTCGCCATCCTCCTCCTCCTCCACCTCCTCCTCCTCCTTTTCCTCCTCCTTTCCCTCCTCCTTTTCCTCCTCGTCGTCCTCCTCCTCATCCTCCTCCTCATCATACTCCTCATCCTGATCCTGATCCTTATCATCCTCATCCTCATCCTCATCTTCATCCTCCTCCTCCTCCTCCTCCTCCTCCTCCTCCTCCTCCTCCTCATCATCATCATCATCATCATCATCATCATCATCATCATCATCATCATCATCATCATCATCATCATCATCATCAGCAGCAGCAGCATCATCATCATCAGCATCAGCAGCAGCATCATCATCATCATCATCATCATCATCATCACCATCACCATCATCATCATCACCACCACCACCACCACCATCATCATCATCATCATCAGCCTCATCATCATCATCATCATCATCATCATCATCATCATGATCATCATCATCACCATCATCGTCGGCGTCGTCATCATCATCATCATCATCAGCATCATCATCGTCATCATCATCACCATCAGCATCATCATCATCAGCATCATCATCAGCACCACCACCACCACCATCATCATCATCAAAATCATCATGATCATCATCAACATCATCATCAGCATCATCATCATCATCACCACCACCATCATCATCATCACCATCAGCATCATCATTATCATCATCTTTCACCTCCTCCTCCTCCTCTTCCTCCTCCTCCTCCTCTTCATCATCATCATCATCATCATCATCATCATAATCATCATCATCATCATCATCCAAATCATCATCACCACCACCATCAGCATCCTTATCAGAATCATCATCAGCAGCATCATCACCCATCATCAGCATCATCGTCATCATCATGATCACCACCAGCATAATCATCATCAGCAGCAAATTCATCATCATCACCATCAGCATCATCATCAGCAGCATCAGCATCATCATCATCATCATCGTCGTCATCATCATAATCATCGTCATCAGCAGCAGAAGCATCATCATCGGCATCATTATCATGATCAGCATCATCAGCATCATCAGCATCAGCATCATAATCAGCACCATCACTCATCATCATCATAACCATCATTGTCATTATCATCAGCAGCAGCATCATGATCGTCATCATCATCCTTAGCATCATCATCAGCATCATCATGATTATCATGATCATCCTCATCATCAGCAGCATCATCAGCATCATCATCGCCCTCATCACAATCATCATCCTCATCAGCATCAACAACATCATCATCGTCGTCATCATCATCGTCGTCACCATCCTCATCATCATCATCATCATCATCATCATCCACATCATCACCATAAGCATCCTCATCATCCTCGTCCACATCCTCATCCTCATCCTCGTTGTCCTCATCCTCTTCCTCATCATCAGCAGCATCATCATCGCCATCGTCATCGCCAACATCAGCGCATCATCATTCGCATCATCATACCATAATCATCATCATCAGCATCATCATCATCATCCAAAGCATCAGCATCGCCATCATCTGCATCAGCATCAGCAGCATCACCCTCATCATCATAATCGTTGCCATCATCATCAGCAGCAGGATCAGCATCATAGGCATTAGCATCAACATTGTTAGCGGCATCACCATCATCAGCATCATCATCAGCAACGTCAACAGCAACAACAACAAGAACAGCACCAGCAACAACAACCACAGCAGCAACAGCAATAGCAACAGCCTCAGCAACAGCTACAACAACGACAACAACAGCAGCAACAACAATAACAGCAGCAGCAACAACACCACCTCCACCAACAACAACAACAACAATAATAAAGCAACAGTGCAATAACAACAACATTAGCATTAACAGCAACAACAACAACAAAAACAACAACAACAACATTAGCAACAACACCAGCAACAACAACAGTAACAACCAAAAAAGACCACGACGACAACAGCAACAAGGCTACAACAACAAAAACAACAACAGCCACAAAATTGTTAAGACTGCTCGCTCTTATGTGCTCGCGTGCACTTGAACACGTATACCCAAACCCTCGACACCCGCCATCTTCTTTGTCGATCGTACCCCCTTAGGGGTATTTCTGTCCTACCTGCAACGCGTACGTCGTGCAGCCCCGAAGGTAGGAGAAGAGAGGACGGATGGAAGGAAGGGACATGGGGGAGGGAGGAGGATGGAGCACGAGATGGAGTAGCAGGAGGGGGGCTAGGAGCAGAAAACACGTGGCAAAACCAGACGGGCAAATCGGGCGGGTAGACCCTAACAGGCGGGTCGGGACGGCGGGCCCAGGCGGCCAGGTCGACCAGGCGGGTTGCTGAAGCGTCTGTCCTGCATGAGTCGCGAGGAATTCCGGAGCGAGAGCGCGACTCCCACATAAATCGCAAGGAAATCTACAACGAGAGCGTGATTCCCGAGTGTCGAGGGCGCGGCGTCTGAATAAATTGCGAGGGGTCCCACACGATGGCGCGATTCTTGCATACATTGACATGAAATTCCGCGCGAGCGCGCCGGGCGCGATCGAACGGGGGCCACGAAGGGCATAGATAGGTGGGGCCACGAAGGGCAGCGAAGGGACCACGAAGAGCTGCGACGGGGCCACGTTATGCAACGAGAGGGCCACGAAAAGGCGCAACGGGGCCACAAAGGGCAGGGAGGGGGCCACGAAGGGGCGCAACGGGGCCACGAGGGGCAGTTAGGGGACCACGAAGGACTGCAACGGGGCCACAAAGGGCAGCGGGGGGGCCACGAAAGGCTGCAACGGGGCCACGACGGGCAGCGATGGGGCCACGAAGGGCTACACTCGGTCCACGACGGGTAGCGAGGGGGCCACGAAGGCGTGCAACGCGGCCACGAAGGGCGGCGAGATCCCGATTCCTCAGTCAGCCGCGACGGAGTTCTGAGCGCGCGCGCGCGACTCCTGGTTGCCTGAGTGCGGGGGCGCGGCGTTTGAGTAAATTACAAGGAATTCCAACGCAACAGCGCGCAACAACAACAACAACAACAACAACAACAACAACAACAACAACAACAACAACAACAACAACAACAACAACAACAACAACAACAACAACAGCAGCAGCAGCAGCAACAACAACAACAACAACAACAACAACAACAACAGCAGCAGCAGTTACAACAACAACAACAACAACAACAACAACAACAACAACAACAACAACAATAACCACATCAACGACAACAACAGCAACAACAACAACAAAAAAAACAACAACAACAACAACAACAACAACAACAACAACAACAACAACAGCAGCAACAACAACAGCAACGACAACGACAATAATAACCAGTTTACCATCATGCGCCACGCTTCCACACGTCACATGCATCCTCCTGGAGACCCTACCCCATCATGGGTGATTTGTTTCCGGCATGCGGGGTCCAATTTTCTTCGCCCAGATCTCCCGCCACAGAAAGAATTGACACCACCTCTCCCGAGGAACTTCGACATTCACGGCTCGCACGGCGGCACATCGCCATCGCAATCGCCTTGCGCACGCCTCGCATCTCGGAGGAAGAGGACGAAGAGGGGAGGCAAGATGAGGGAGAGGGAGAGGGAGAGGAGGAGGAGGAAGAGGAGGAGGAGGACGAGGGAGGAGGAGGAGGAGGAGGAGGAGGAGGAGGAGGGGGAGGAAAGAGGAGTACTTGTAGTAGCAGTACCTCCGAAAACGAGGTGGTTCTTACTCCTCGTTTTCACTGTTCCGCCACCATCCTGCGGCCTCGGCGCGTGACCCTGAACGCTCACGCCCCCAGGCGTTGCCGCTCCCATGCTCGCATCCTCCACCTGCCCCTTCCACACCCGCTCAAGGAATCCCTGAAGTCGACCCTTCGACCCTCGATCCTTGGGGTCCCTGGAAGCCATACGTCCTCCTTCTTCTCCTCCTCCACATTGTCCATGCTCTCCAAAAATGATAGATATTTAATGATTAAGGTTCAACAGGGACTCGTGGAAACCCTCCAGAGGCGATGCCGAAACGAAGGCCCATGTCTTGAGTAAAAGGTGAGGAAGTATCAAACGGGAGCGACGCGGGAGGACGGAAGGCGAAGGGAGGAGGGAGGAGGGAGAAGGGAGGCAAGAGGGAGGAG